TAAGAAGGACGCGAGAAGGGTTCGATACGACTTGGAAATCGATGGAGGACAAGAGATGACAGAGGATAAACCCCCCACCCCCATCCTCTCCCTCCTTAAGGGAGATAGAACAGTCCGTTTTGTTGTTCGTTGTGCTCACGGTTATTAGACATTATTTCTTCGTACTGGTCGAGTCACAGAACGGTTTCTCTTACTTCCATGCCGTAGTTTCTTCGAGAACAGAGTTTTACTCGTCGGTGAGCCACGCCGTTGGCGGAAGAGCCACTTCGCCGAGATCACCCACGCCTCTCTTTCATGCACTCCATGGTAGTAGGAGTCCAGCCGTCAATTTCAATGAAAGTCCGTCGTCGAAACATCAAGTGCAACGACAGGAGTCCTCCTCTTCTTCCCCCTCGGGATCATCGGGTGTTCGTTGTAACAACTGCGACCGAGTGATCGTGTAACTATTCAACGTGAAATCCTCTCTCTCTCTCTCTCTCTCTCTCTCTCTCTCTTTCTTTCTTTCTTTCTTTCTCTTTTTTCCTTGCACGGTCGAGATGGACCGGACTATTTCGACGATATGTCGCTTTTCACATGCGCAGAAGTAACGTAAGCACGTATATGTGGGCAGGAACGAGTTCGCGATTCCGTGATTCCTTTTTTTTCCCTTTTTTTTCTCTTTCTTTTTGCTTTTTTCATATGTGTATATCATTATTTATCGAATCGTGACTCTCGTTCCTAGCGTAAGCAAAAAAACAAAAAAAAATATATATTGTACATACACGCTGAATTATGACCGCCTGGATTGTTTTCGTGTCGCCTGGTATCATCTCGAAATGCTTTTTTTTGATATTGATAGACGAAAACGAAATCTTTATGGATTATCTTTATGCATTCGTCCATTCGTAGATCGATACTCGAATCGTAATTGGTGTTTACACAAGTGCACGTTTTGCCGCTATGTTTTTTTTTTTTTTGGTATGGAAGCACAGAACCCCTTTCTCTTGTCGCCTCTGTCGTCGATTTTTTCGCTTCTTCGAAAAAAAAAAAAAAAAAAAAAAAAAAGAAAAAAGTAGATGAATAAATGTTTCGTACATTCACGAACATTCTCATCATTTTCTCTGCGGAAAAGTGTGGATATCATTTGCAATTGTAAAAGCTTCCTCTCGCTTAATTTTTATAGGAATTGATTAGCAAGATCTAATGTGTTCATTTTTTTTCGACCTTCATCGCATCTTTTCAACGTAGCATTTTTTTATGTCACTTTATTGTCGAATTACATATTGGTACGTAATCGCCGGGATGGCATAGATCCAATGGCTTTCGATGTTGTGATATTTTTTTTTTTTTTGTTTTTGAACGTGTTTTTTTTTTTTGTATCAATGTTGTGTTTTTTTTGTATATTTTTTCCTGTATATTCTTTTTTCTTCTCTTTTCGTCGAAAACATTCGAATATTTTTTTTTTTTTTTCGAATATCCCACAAACAAAATTTTTTCATCGCTTCGCGATTTTTCTCGTCTCATTCTCGAATGTTATTATGAACACTGTTCACGTATATATACTTTTAAGTAATTTTTAAGTTAATGTTTTTTTATCAATTTTTTATCAAGAATACATTATTCATCTCTCGAACAACTCGATGTGTATCTCATTAAGAATTAACCGAGATTCATTTCACTTAACAGAGCATCACGAAATCACCAGTAAATCTTAATTACTCAAAAATTACACCACGTGTAACGCGAACCCCGCATTCTCGGCCTCTTTCGTCGAGGTATCGAGTCCACTCCCCACTTTTTTTTTCTCGACACTTAATAGCGAAGAAAAAAAAAAAACAAAACTCGTGGCACATCCGACAAGCAAAAGCACTCTCAATCCTTTGTGTAAAAAAAAAAACAAACAATCGAACACGTAAACAAAAAAAAAAAAGAAAAAAGAACCTCTCTTCTAATCGATCATTCTTTCTCTCTCTCTCTCTCTCTCCGCAGAGGTGTCTTCGTAAGAATCAAGGACAAGAATCTTCACGTGGAGTGTTTCAAATGCTCCACTTGCGGCACTTCCTTGAAAAACGTCGGCTACTATAATATCAACAACAAATTGTATTGCGACATACACGCGAAATTGGTCGCCAGGCAAAATGCACCTGCTGGCATGGTTCCAATCACTATACCACCGTAAGTATGTTGAATCATAAGGAAATCGGGGAGAATCATGCGCGAAATATGAATAGCAGAGTTTAAATAACGCGCTAAATAAAAAAAAAAAAAACGTTTCAGGGGCGGTAATAAGGCTCCTGCGAGCACCATTTCCGCCGCTCTCGCGCATGCTCCATTATCTCCACCATTGAGCAATCACGCATCGTCGCCCCAACCGTTCTCCGTAAGTTCATCCTTCGATCGCAATTATTATTATTATTATTATTATTATTATTATTAATATTGTTATTATTATTATCGTATCTCGAGTTTATTGCATCACGAGTTTTTTTTTTGCTTCACGAGTGACAAGCAAATTAATATTCGTTTGATCGCTTGCTACGAAGAACACGAACGTAGTAGTAGCAATAGTAATAGTTAGTTTTATAGAATATTAATTTTATAGAAGAAGAATACGAAGATTCTTCCCATAGTTGGAAGAATCCCGATCCCGAGAGAAAATTAGGATGAAATTAATTAAGATGTAACATTGTGTGTGGTATTTCTTTTTCTTTTTTTTTTTTTTTTTTTC